GAAAATGTAATTTCAGAATTCTTAACTATGCGATGTCATTCACACAAACCAGGAAAAGATATTAAGAGAAGACTTGCATGGTAATTAACTATTTTCCAATTACAATTTCTTCTTTCTTGCATATCAGTGATTAATTACAACTGTGAAGTGCTTGCAGTTCATTATATATATTTTTATGGTTTATCACAGCTAGCAGTGCAAGAATATTGTGGGACATAGGGGTATGAAACACGATGTTGTGTGTATACGATGATCAATACAAACTAAACGCGTGCATTATCCCATGCGAATTTGATCAAATATACAAAAATAAAGTGATAGGAGCACGGAAACTTCGCCATGCCTTCGTAATGAAATCAACAGTTGTCATGCGCTGACATATCGCCTGTATAAGGGAGGAATTTATTTATATTTATTCTGATCTGACAAGAATTTCCGCAGCAGGAGTTGAATGTTAATTATCCTCCAGCTTTTATATGATAATTACAGATACTCACGGGTCTGTTTTTTTTTTTTTGCCGCATTAGAAAAAACGCATGACTGCAGCTGAAATTCTTTGGACCCTTAAAATTTATGTGGAAGCCTGCTCCAAGTACTGTAATGCGCTGAGTTCTACAATCGCTGACCAAGCTTTTTGTCAAGCATTATATAATGGGTTGCAGTGTGACCGCGCAGGCATTAAAATACCTTGAAGTTTTAGGCTGATAGTGTTGTCATCCCCCCCCCCTCCTTGCTACCTTGTCCAAGCGACGGTGCTATCTGATTGCACGGTCATATTTCATGACGACGTCGGAAAATTTGGAGACCGTGATAACGTTCCAACAAGCAATTGCCTCCATACGCGCCGCTCGCCAGGAGTATAGGTCACGTGGGTTTCTGCACCACTTAATTAGCTTACCATGTTTCCCTCACCGTTACAGCGCAAGAAGACGCTTAGGGCTTTCGTCTTATAAATCGTCGGTGTACTATATCCTACTTATATTTCCAGACTCGGTCATTGTGAACGTTGTTTGTTCTGAGCATTACTTTTGCCGCTGACCACATCAGCTATATTCAGATGCATCGGACGTGATATGAGGATATATTCCTACAACTTTCAACGAGCTATATTTTACCGATCCGTTTTGTTAACACGTCTCTGAGTGCGAGGGACATCGAAAATTCTCTGCATATATGTTCCGCGGATGCTTTATGCTCTTGTTTATCCTGGCTTTAGTGATCTGACCAAGTAATCGATGCATTTTTCGATGTCTAAAGATATGTCAATGCAAGAATCACCTCCGGTTTAAGATGAACTGACGCATTTTGAACGAATTCCGGCTCACGTGCATGCGCGCATCACCGCATGCGTATGCATGAACAAAAGAAGTGTTTGCGTGTGTACAGAGCAAATGTATTTTTTATGTTAGTATATTTTTAATGGTTATGCGTGCACTAAGTGGCACAGGTTTACTGTTTCTCCAACATTTTTGTATATTTTTTGTTCATTCTCATGCGAAAGACTTCCAAATGTTCTGCACCAGTGGCGTATGCAGGAGTGGCGCACACCGGGTCTAAACCACCCCTTCCGAAATTTTTTTAGCCATGGTGTACAGAGTGAGAAATGATCATTTCAATGACATGGCTCCCCCCTCCCCCCCCCTTAACAACAACAAAAAATTTGCCTACGCTCCTATTGTGCACTAGCTTATAAACGCGAGTGACTTTGTGGTAATTCGTCTCGCTAACTACGTAGTGTCGTGAACAGGCACGGATACAGGATTAGTTTAGTGACGGTGGGGGGGGAGTAATGTTATGTCAACTATGATACCCACAGCTGAGTATTGGACGTCAAAATATTTGGACCCTGCCCCCCCCCCCCCCTCTTCACCCCGGCTCCTCCCGTGGTCTTGGTTTTCTTTCCAGCTTTTTTTTTTATTTCACGATTAGCGCTAAGTTTAATATTGCACTGTAAATGTCATCTCTGTCCGTTACGGACTGAACAATGACATTGTTTGCCATGTGGGGTGATTTCCTATAGGTGGCATGCGATTTCTCGGTACGAAAAGAAGGTGTCTCAGTTGTCTGCGAAATTTATTGCGTGGGCCTGCCAACGTTCGCGCATTAAATGTTATACTAAACTGTGCAGCATGCATAGCTTGTACATGATTTCCAGGATCCCAACAACAAGTTTCGTATGTTTTGTTTCTATACATAACGAAGGCTTATTTCAAAAAAAAAATTCAAACAGAGTCGGCCAGCAAATTTTCGGTTGAATATCTTTCGGACCGAGCAGGTGTTCGAGATTTATTTTTTATTGAAATCGAAAATAAATGAAGGAGTTTTGTCACCGTTACTTGGTGACGGCTACCCCTTTCCACTTAATTGGTACAAATAAAAATATAAAAAAACAATAGCATATATAAATATATACAGTCCTGCATAGGTGAGAGCAAATGTTCTCCTGTGGGCAGAATAAACCCCGTATGCATTGATTTTTAAACCACAAACAAAAAGCTAAATCATACATTCCTTTTTCATTGTAAATAATCATGGCTATAACTGAGGCTTTAGCGTATTAGCAGAGATAGATTTCGAGCCTTGCGTAGACACTCAACAAGGCCTAGATAAACCAAGCGTAAATCTTTCATTGGTTACCTGGACCATACGGTCATAATACCACCACTTACTAAAGACACATTATGAGTAGTGACAACCGAAATTTGGTCGTGGGGGCATTTCTAGCTAATTAGCTTTACACGTATTTGTGTTCTTGGAGAATATTGCTTTATCTTCTATAGCATAGAGAGCAGTGAACTTATTTATAAACCATACAGAAAAATTGACAGAAACAGAAGCGTTTAACGATATCAGTAAACAATTAAGCTCATGTGAACACTTAGTTATTACATTTTATGAAAAGTTATTTATCATAACTTTAATTTTTATTTATTGCTGTACTATCAACATTTTTTTTAATTCCTGGAGCTTCAGGACGAGAAGTTCAATCTTTACATTACCGTAGCTAAGAAGAGGGCCACACAGGCCCGTAGATGAATTTTTAGGGGGTTAAAGGGGGGGGGGGGGACACTTGTTGAATGTTTTGAAAAGCACCTATTTTCATTATGTATTCTCGGTAAAACACACCCTTCCATCCGGATATGGGGGGGGGGGAAGGAGCCTTTAGGGCAAAATTTTCTGGCTACGGGCCTGAGACCATAAATCGGAACTATCAATAAGTAAATTTCGGAAGCTTACAAAAACAAAGCATACAATTAAATGTAATTTCGTGATATTTAGCTAGTGTAGCATTTCATTTATTTCTTATTACAGCACTAACATACAAAGAAACAAATAAATGAACATATGATTTCTATAGCCTTATTTTTGCCTGAAGAAACAAACTGAAGAAACAAAACGAACGCTGATTGTACGCCGCGAGTGTTTCCTCCAGGTTTCCTCTGCGGTGGAACTTGCCTCCTCTTTACACCTGGTTATACGCTAGTCTAAACTTTACTGCCTGCCGAGCCGGTGTGTGGAAGGAAAATAAGCAGCCAGAACAGCGTGCTCGAGCAGCGACTTCGAAACCTGAGAACCTAATCAGGGTTCGCTTGTTATAAGAAACGCTGCGCTACAGAATTTCATTCGACCGCTATAAACGACTTCCGAAGGGCGCACAATCAACCACTGCTTCAGCTACACATAGCAGAGGCGTGAAAAAAAAAAAACAACAGAAAATGTCAGATATTTTTCACTCTGGTTTGCACAGAACAGAAAAAAAAAAACGACGTGTACTCAAATTCTTATTCGATGCGAAACGCTTAATTTTGTTCATTTGTGTGCTCTTTTGTTTTCTTTGTCGTGACGTGAAGGTCTGAGCAAGAAAAAGATATATATATATATATATATATATATATATATATATATATATATATATATATATATATATATATATATATATATATATATATATATATATATAACATAGTCTGGAGAACTGCTATGGTCTATAGATGCAACAGGCATCGGAACAGTAGAAAATCCTCTAAAAAATTAGTCAGGTTGAAGGGTTCTTCTCGCCGCCTATAGAAGTGGCAGCCAGACGCTTCACTAAAGAGCGTCGAGCAACAGTTGTATGTGCGGTTGGCCCCGTAATACGTGGTAGGTCCGTATCGACTTAGTCCCGCGACGCGAAACAAGGCTGCGAATGCGATCGACAGGCATCAGGCACGGCGTGCGCACGTAAATCAGTGGCCGCTTCAAGGGGTGATCAATTTGAGCTCGTGCGCACGCCTTCCGACACAGATTGGCTGCGGAGAAGGAAAAGGGAGAGAGTTCGTACATGGTTGTACGTTGCCCAAACGGAAAACACGCCGAGGCGCTATACGCCGGGCCTTGCTGCTGTTATACAGCAGCTGCTATAACGCGATCGCTGGCGCCGATCATTTCTCGCGCATTAGGCGCGTCAGAATAAAGACTAATGAGGCATTCAGCCGAGGTGTTGGCCCTCTCTCTCTCTCTCTCTCTTTCGTCTGTCTATGGCTTTTCCTTCCGCTTCTTCCATTTTTTTTTTCTTTTTCACGTATAGTACCTTCCCGGCTTTGAGGGGCGGGAGCCTCGGCGGCGATGGGTGGGCGAGGGTTGCAGGATCTCGACTCCGAGGAGGCATGCATACACGACTCGTGTGACCAAGAGTGCGTAATTAACGAGCGCCGGCGCGTGGAAGGCACAGCCGGGTTGCTAACGCAAACGGCACATCATCGTTGTCACGTGATTCCCCAAGCCACGGGGTGCGCCCGAGAAAGCGCCGAGCGCGTACGTTTGTGTGTCGCACTTGTTTCACGTCCGGCGTGAATGGGCGGCCCATTGGCTGCCGTGGAAAGCGGGACCTGGCCGGTTTCTGCCATTGGCGTGCCTTGTTTACCCTCGCAGCACAGCTGATGTCTGCGAGGAGGCGGTGAGGGTGGCCGCGAGGGGGGGCTCCTCTCTGCGAACACGCCGGCGGCGGCATCGACGGCCGCTGTTGCGGGCTTTTTTTTCTCTAGCACGCGCGTGTGCGTGCGTGCGTGTGGAGGCTGTTGCCGGTCGGCCCTACGGCGACGAGGAAGACGTACCCGCGGAGTCCGACAGAAACTGCGACTTGCCAACATAATGAGCCATGAGCGTCAATTTCATGGACGGCCTCTTGGGTAGTAGCGTGGTGAAACCGCCAGACGCGGTGGCAGCGACGGTCGCTTCCGCCGTGACGGCCGCCCCCGTGCCGTTCCGTCCCTTCCAGACGACGACTGTGACGCGCGCCTCGGACATGTACCCGTTCGTGCACGCGGCGGCACCACCGCCGACGTCGACGGCCTCGCCGCTTGGTTACTTCACGTCCATGGACCTGGCCAAGTCGGACGCGATGGCAGCGGCGGCGGCTGGATACGCGGCCGCAGCCCTGGGTCTGGGGCCGCACGCCGCCGCCGCCGCCGCGGCTAGCGGCGCGGCGACGTCACCTGCCGCGACGGCCTCGTTGATGGCCTCCCAACAGTTCCTGGCCGCGGCCGAACTCGCCTACCCGCTGCCCCGGCTCGGAGTGGTCAGGCCCGAGGACGCCCTGGCCGACGTACCGCGCTACCCTTGGATGGCGCTTGCAGGTGAGACGTGACTAAGAAGGTCGTCCGTAGATGTTACGTTGGACCACATGTTCCAGTGGTCCACGCTCGCCGCTGGCGAGTTTCGGGAGAACGCTGGCTTCTGTGCTTGTGTCTGCGGCAAGGGCATAAGTGCAATGACAGCGTAAAGGGCCCAAAGCAGCAGCGCCGCCGACTCACACACGCCGCGTCACATATTGAGTCGCAGCGGAGGTCACAGTGTTATTCCGCGAAACCAAGAGACCGTCCGTTTCATCGTGTATGCTTATTCATAGGCTCGCTGCAAACGGATGAAAGCTTATATACCAGGAAGAGGAAGCTACGGGAGCTTTTGCAATGTCCATGGGAGAGGTTAGACGTTAACCATTGAAGATAGAGGTTGGGGCAGTGGATTAAGCGTAAACAACCAGCCGTTTTCATTAGATGGGTAATTAATAGAAAACGACGTACAGGCCAGGTTACGGGGCATGAGATTATTGACGCATTTGCAATACTTACAAATGTCTGTTGTCGATGTCGTATAGCAAGTTCGACGTGACCAGAGGTATAAGTAATCAGCTTTGACAACTACATTGCCGTTCTCTAATATCTCTGCATGCTTAGTGATGAAATTGATTTTAGGTTTTTTTTATGGGGGTGTTCAGGTCCCGTTACGACAGCAGCAACTGATAGTGTTTTTCGTCGCTGTGAGCCCATGTCATCTATTATTCCAACCCCAAATGGAGTATGCCTAACGAGAATGTTTACTTATGCTACAGAACCTCTTGAAAGTACCATAAACGTAGTCGGAGCCATGCATCGGCACCTGTAAACACGCGCATCCTATAATTTACGCCCGGCTATATACAGTCATCAGCCGTTGCGCAGGTGGGATAAACAAAGCGCAAGTTTCGGCGATAAACAAACTGCGTTCGTGTTTGTGGCTCGTATCCGGAACTCCACTGACCTGCTGCAGTATACTTATTCGATTTTAAATGGCATACACGCAGTGAAACGTTAAACTTCCTCATTTGAATGAATGAATTAACGTTCGAGGAAGTATGTTAACATTTGTTCATTTTTAATTTTCTTGTAAAGCACGCGGAGGGGGCATCGCATTCGCTTCTTATTCATTCACTCCGTGAGCATCCGATCCGTCACCGCAACGTTCTTTACGCGTCGTCTCCACAATGGCGTGTGCTCACGGTGCATTCTGTACGACTATATGTATACACAGCGATATGCATACTAATATACAATCCACGACTGCACAGTGTCAGAGCCCTGTCTGCACGTGGGGATCGAAGCACGAGTGCGTTCGGGAACATACATGTGGGCCTCTCGCACTTACAGAAAACGGCGCGAGGCAGTGCCCGCATTCACACAGATGTCTTACGCTATAAAAACTGCTCGTAAGAGAAATCCCGAAGCATGCTTATGCCACACATATCATTGGGGAAGCTTTATGATAAATGGCAAGAAAGCAAATCTGGAAATGGCGTGCATGACGTAACATTTGGTGTCCATCGTTCTATACAAAGTATGCTTATATTCCCGCAAGTGGCGACGAAGTGCGTCATTCTCCCTCCACCCCCCCCTTTTTTTTTCTGTGTCTGCATTCTTAGAGCTGTTTCGTTAATTATATTTAAAAGCAGTTGACGCAAGGAACACTGAGGGCCGCTGTTTTTTTTTTGTTGTATCTTTAGCTACTAGTAAGTAGAACGATTTTAATCATTTCGCAAAGTTACAGTTCACAGTTCACAAAGTATATATGCATGCGCAGGTCCCGTAGAATTTGCCACCGAATGAGGGCCTCCCGCTTGTGATGGCAAGAATCGTTCACCTAAATATCAACTAAATTGTGCAAAACCTTTCGGTAAAAACTACTGAAAACATTGTCAGTGATCAAGACACAAAGGACGATTGTAAATTATTACATGGCTACAAGGAAAAAAACGCATCGGCTACAAACTATTCATAAAATAGTTACCGCTATTTTGCATGATGGATGGAAGGAAATACACAAAAAAATCACAAGGATGGGAAGTTAACCAGAAAAGGGTTTGGTTGGCTATCCTACACTGGGAGAATCAGCAAGGAAAGTGACAGGTGGGAATGAAGTGATCAAGTAGATAAGCCGTCAATGCAATGACGTGTGTGGGGTTACGACATTGACAAAGGGAGGAGATGTGGTGCAATTCTCTTCCCACGCCGCAGTTATTTTTTTTTTCACAATATGTATGCATGCGTACACTAAACACATCCAAACGCATGCACGAGTATATACATAAGGGCATACTGAAACGCTACCCTATAAATAAACATTTGTGGCTAAATCCATGCTTTGCGTCTCTGGCCAGAGTTTCTTGCACATGCCCGGGTTCTTGAAGAAACACTAAAAAACCCTTAATATACGCACGTGTTCATAGGCGCTGTTATGCTACGGCAGTTATCTTGAAAGCTCTGACTAACACTGGCACCTGCAAAAAGTCTAGCGGCATCACATACAGTCGATATATGCTGCAGGTATTTCTCTCTTTCCCGTGTATAGGTGTGACTAAAATTTGTTTTATGCCCTCTGCTACACTGGCTATCCCGCTTAGAGTTAGCTAGTCCGGCATTAATGAAATGTCACGCGATTATCTTTTTTTTTTCACTTCACAATTACCAATTTATGGAAAGAAGTTTGCTCATTATGCCCTATTAAGTAGCGCTTAGCTTAAACGGCCTGTTTTCTAAATGCAAGAATTTGTTTGAAGTCGTTATTGTGAATCTATAATGCGCGTTATTGTGAAAATGCCTCTTTTATTTCTGTGGTTCATGTGGTTTTTCTATTGTATACACGGTGTTTTGAAACTCGTATAGAGTAATTATTTCCTGTAGTGACAACTGGATGACAGAGTTCCTCGCAAGGAAAATTTGAACAACAGAACTGGGATATTGAGTGCAGCGCGTCTAACACGTGGCAATAGATAACGCGTTAAAGGTATAGACTTAGACTCAATTAAGTGTCTCTGTTTTGTATTTTTCCATGTCGTGTGTACTTTGATCCCACCATATGCTGTAACTAAAAGCTCAGCGAAACTTTGATAAACAGCAAGAGGCTGGAGGAAAACAATGCAGTTCATTTGTAGACGAGGCCAGAGTTATACGAAAGCTTGTCACCTTCATTTCTTTTATTCCTTGGTTTCATGGGTCCTCGACGTCTCGTTATAAAATAAGATTACCACGTTTTGCACGTTTAAATGAAAAGATCAGCCATTATCACCATAGCCTGGTGCAGCGAACAGCGCACTCAACGTGGCGATGCAGTGATTTGCAGTGGCTTGATTTTTCTGTAAAAATTAAACAGCCAAAGTAAGACTCAAGGAAGTGCAATGTGAATGGTCTCGTTTTTATGTGTTATTAAACACATTTATCGCGAATGTACAGGTTTATCTGGGACTACTCATATGTGTGCTTGCGTGTAGAAGTTTTATCTGCGATATCATGCGCCTATGGATAATAATTGACCAGCACCGAAAATAGCACATATTTTCTTTAAAGTGCCATCGACTTCCTCAATATTCCCTTTGCAAGTATACGCTCTGCAGCGCATGAAGTCTCGCTTACTCCTTCAGAGAAAGCGTGCGTCTCAATTGGAACTATATTGCAAGACACAGGCCGTAGAATTTGCGTACTTCTCATAAATGACGCATGGCCACATGTAAACGTGGTGGTGCTATACGTTTGTACACAGCATAAATGGAAAGGTAGGTTGTGTGTACACTGACGTCTTCAGTGGTGGGAGGCTACTTCGACTCTCAATAGGGATCCGGCTAACATAATAAGATTACATGAAAACGACTTTCGCTATAGTATTTTTCGCAAGACAGTATTGCAGCCGATCGTGAGGCTGGACCGTGGCCTCCACAATCAGCGCCGGAAGCGTGCCGTTGCCTGGTGGCGGAGTTGATCGCGGAGGCCACGGCTGGACATGTTGACGAAGCCAACTTGACCGATGACAGAAAGTCCTTCAGAAGATACAGCGCCTTAATTTCGGTTCCCGATAACCATAGTCAAAATTCACATATCCCGGCTGGTTCCTGAGCATGCTTTGCCAACGGTCTCCCTGAACTAATATGTCATCCACCATGTACGGCTGCGCCTTTATGTTAAGAACTACTCCAGTGCTAAAACACTGCATGCGTGGGCTAGCTCTAGAACGAGTGGGAGAGTGAGAGCAGAGTGGAGTCTGAATATGCTCAGCTTTTTGTGGGTAGGGCTTGGTTCTCCACATCAAGAACTTGAGATGAAATTTTGCGGGAAATATTTTACACGAATTACGTAGCCAGTTGAAACTTAAATGAAATTTATTAGTGAAACGTCTGTGTATATATAGTAAGGCTGAGGAACGAAGTGGCGCGACCTGACGCACTCTTCGGCCTCCACTAGTATATAGGAACCTCTCGTGGCATGCTAAGCGTCGTACATTTTTCGTACATTCGTGCTGCGAATCTCGAGGTCATGGGATTCGCCTTCTCCGCCATGGCGTCCCCGTTTCGATGGGAGTGAGATGTGAAGAACACCTGCATATGTATACTTCGCTTCGCGTTCGCGTTAAAGAACCCAACTGGTAAAATTGAAAACGCCGCTAAGATGTGTCTCATAATGATTGTTAAAATGGCACCTAGTGTTTCACGTGCAAAAACAACAGTATGATTATAAGGCACGCCGTATAGTGCAAGGCTCCATAAATGTCGACCATCTGGTCTTCTTTAACCGGCACCTATATCGCAGAATATACTGGCCATTTCGCCTCCAACGAAATCCGAACGACGGGACCGTGATCGAAGCCGTAATCTTCAAGTCAGCATCCGATCACACGCTATACCACCCTGTCGGAAGCCTCATAACCATGTCGTAGCTCAATATTAAATGAAAGATAGCCAATTATTATAATTTAATTCACATAATGTGACCCACCGCAACGTTTTGGTTCGCCCGTCCACGCAAGGAAGAGTGCATCTCCGCAGCTGACGTCA